CCTTCCTTCCTTCCTTCCTTCCTTCCTTCCTTCCTTCCTTCCTTCCCCTATGTGATTTGGAGCAAGGCCTTCTCACAGCTGCTACTGCAATTATGGAACTGTCTTCTTAGATAATTAACTCCCTAGTTATCAACTTTTAGATGGCAACTATCAAATGCAGCATTCTGTTGGGTTAGGTAGTATCTCACTATTGATGGAAGGCTTTTTAGCTGTCATACTGTGCTTTTAAAAATATAAATAAATTATATAATTTTTGTAAATCTCTTCCTCCTAAAGGAGGCTAGAGTAGTGTACAGAATGCATCCCATATGTTGAGTGCTGACTCACTCACCAGTAGCTAGAAACAACTGAAAGCAATAGAATATATTAATAAAAAGTAAAAGTGGATCCAGTATTAAAATCAAATTCCTTAAGATATTTGACACATTCCAGCTTAAGTGGAAGATCTCCTTTCAGATCTCTTTCTGATTTTCTCCCTACTCTTCTTCCAGAAGCCTGAATGAGCTGCGTGCATTACTAATGGAGGCCAACCGGCACTCGCCAGGCCCCGAGAGAGACTTAAGCCGTGAGGTGCACAAAGCTGAGTGGAGGCTGAAGGAGCAGAAGCTCAAAGATGACATCAAAGGACTGCGAGAAAAACTCATCATCCTGGTGAGTACAGGGATGGTGGAGAATTTAGGGCTGGCTTAGCCCAGGTGATAGGCATCGTACGCTAGGCCTGAGCAAGGCAGTTTTGACTTGATGAGATATGTTGTGGAGGAAATATGATTCACCTCATTATCGCACAATAATTGCATGAATCACCTCGTGGAAGTCCTTCGTGTCACTTCTGGAGCTTCCTCAAGCTTTCCCAGTAGGTGGAAGAAGCTTCTGTGCACTCAGTGTGCATGTGCAAAGCCTCTTTTGTCAACTGGCTGTGTCAGAGGGGGCCGCATTGCTTCATGAAGCAGGGCTGAAGGACTGCTTCACTTTGTGCTTTTCAGAATAAAGCACTTTTATAGTTTTGTGCAGCCTCAATTAGTGTCCATGTTGGTAGCTGAGAACTGAAGATCAGAAGGCTGGACAGGTGGTCCCTTTAGGGACTTATGTTGCTGTATGAGCAAAAAAACCCATTCCCAAGCTATACCATGTCCAGGACATTGGGAACCACTTCCTATTTCAGAAGATTTACTTCCAGAAGACTGGAAAGATCAGATTGGCATGATTTGGAGGAAGGACAGAATGAAATGTTTGCTTATACCTAGAAAGGAGTTTCACTGACCCTTGAATCCATAGGCTTTCTCCTAAGTTCTCTTCTTTCCACATTGGTTGCAGAGGACTTCAGTAGATTTTCCATTAGACTCAGTTCGTCAGATCAGAAATCATATTTCATAACAGGTTCATTTAGCAAGCCACCTTCAGAAACTGTTTTGAAATTGTTTCACACATTTAATTATTCCTGGACTGGATGACACAGCAGGACATACAGTTTTGAAGTTAGGCAAGATTGCTTTAGACATTTCAAAGCATTTTCTGTGTATTTTCACTAGCTTGAACAATAGTTCTGAGAGGTCTTACAACATTTGATTCCTTCTCTCTGTGAGACCCCTTCACACATTTGGGGAACATTAAGATTTATTTATTCTGTCTAGCTTCAGAAGGTATGAATAAGCCTCATGGCTTTAAGTTGTAAGGCTGTACATTTCAGCTGGAAATTAAAATATATTTATGGACTGAGAAAGCAGTTTGACCATGAAACAGTTTATGGAGTGAGGAAATGAGAGATGTTTTATTTCTTGATTTCTGCATGGAAAAGGGTGTGGATATAGTCAACTACAACTTTATATCTCTGTTATCTTCATCCTTCTCAGTTTCCACATCAGAAAGCTAAGAGAGGCTTCCTTAAATTGTATCACAAATTCCTGATACAGAGACCCAGAATTCAAGCTCTAAATCCTGCCTTTCAACATTATTCAGAACATCTTCCACTTTTTCTGTCCCCCCCCAGTTTTGATGCTGATTTCATTTTTTTCTCTTGATCTTCTATAAATTAATACAGCAGATATTTCTTTAAAAACCTATTTTTTAAATTCAATATCCAGGACAAAGAAAAAGCAGTAACGGATCAGCGGCGGTATTCCCTCATTGATCCTTCCTCGGAGACAGAGGTTCTCCGATTGCAGCACCGGCTGGTCAGCACTGAGGACGTCCTGAGAAATGCTTTGGAGCAGGGCCAGCAGATGGAGAAGCTCATGGAAGCCATGCGGAGCTATTCTGAAAAAGCACAGGTCAGTGTTCCATAGCTACATCTGGACCAGACCTGGTTAGGGATGTTTGATGTGGCGGCTGTGCTTGCTGTTAAAAGAAACTGACCACTTTTACCCTGGTTTCTCAAGCTCTGCAATGAGAGATCTTGGATTATTGGCTTATGTACACATTCACAAATGTACTGTAAGCGCCATCACTTTGCTCTCATCTGTGACTTTGGGCTAGTAGGATGTGCAAATTCGACCACTGTGATTTGTAACTTATAGTCTGGCTTAGCACATTGTGCCAACTCAACCCATTATGGTCTACTTAAGAAATCATGGTCACACAAGCTGAGATTTAGTGTCTTAATAGGCCTTCCAGCCATGCTGTTCTCCATGACGTTCCATTCCATTTCCTTTTCCACTTAATTACCCCTTTTCCTCTCCCACTCTTTGTCTGAATTCCATTGCCATTAATCATGCTCAGTCTTTATTAAGACGTACATATGGACTTTCCTATGTATGTGTGTGTGTACATGTTTGTATGTATATTACACATAGTACTTACATTTCTATGTTGATGTTCCCCCAAACCTGCTAAAATATGTTGTTCTTATATATGAGTAATTTCCACTTCTTCTGTATAATCATGACACCTGCTTTCTGAGTAAAAAATAGAACCATCATGGTGTCTCTTTTGAAATAGTTCTTAATTTGCATGTTGCTTACTGAGCTGATGAATCTGTCTTCACTCTGGTACACTGCTTTCCTGTCTGTATATGTTTCTCATATACGGAAATATTCAGGTCTGTGGGTTTTGATATTCTGTCCTGGATAGAAACATACACTATATTCCTGCGGTCAGTGAAATACTGAACACAGGTATAATTTGACGCACAAATAAATTTCTGGGATTTATTATTGTTATTTTAGCTGAGCCGCTTGTTATGCAAGGAAGGGATTAATATGGACATACATTTCAGTTTACACTTTTCTTTTAAAAAGACATTGTAGCTTTTTATTGGTTTTCTTGTCCATAATTTCTCATAAGTGTTCTTTACATCACATAAAACTACTCATTTTTTATGGAATTCTGTCTCTTTTTAATGTATCATCCAATTGCTGTGAATTCATAAATCATCTATTACCAAAGCTCTTATTTAAAATTTTAGACTATTGGAAACTCTGGATCTGCTAATGGGGTCCATCAGCAGGAAAAATCTCACAAACAGGAGGTTGGTGACTGTAAATATCTTTCATGTCTTATCTGCTTATTGTGTAAAGTAGGGTGCAGTTAGATGCTGTTGTTTTAGTACTTTTAATATTATTTTCTTCCCCAAACTGAAATAGGTTTACCTGTTCTGATTAAAAAAACCCTGTAACTGGTTTTTTCTAAAAATTGAATCCTGTTCTAGAAGATGGTCATATCAGTTATTTTATTATTCAGCAAATTTCCATAAATGACATGTAACTCTCTTTCCAAGGACACATGCATGTACCAATTGTTCATCTCTTTGCACTTTGCTGTGCTTTTATAAAAATTCTAAAAACCAGATTACATCTTAACATGATGGTCTGTTTCTGTGAAAGACTACAGCCTTGGGAAGAGGGAGGGAACGATCAAACTGTTAAGTGGGGAGTTTCAAAAAAGATGACTCAGTCCTGAAAAAGAGGAAAGCATGTGAAAGAAACTCAAAATAACCCTGCTTTGATCTTGTTTGGAATAAGACGGAGCAGAGAAAAACTCTGATAGGCTTTCAAGATTCCATTATTCTATCCTACTACAATAAAAACCATTCCTGGAATCCCTGGTTCTGAGTCAATGGCTGAATTGCCATTGCATCCCAAATCATAGATTATCCAACTCCATTCTAGCCTGGTTTAATGTGTTGTGTGAATCCACTTATTAAATACCTCCACACAGTTAATTTCTTAGCTTTTGTCCATGTAGTATACTGACCCACTACCCATCCCATTTTAGTCTTGTACTTTGTTAGAACACAGCCAATTAATGAGTTTAGGGTTCAGAATGTTGTGTTTACCCAGAAAATTGTATTCATTGATGAAATTGTGGCTCAAATAATGAGTGAGCGCGTCTTATGAACACAACTAATGCATAAGCTGATCCTAAGGAACAGTCAGTATCAAGTCCAATTCTGGCAAAGGACCTTCTCAATGGAAAATAATTAATCTGTATTCTAAGCTACATAGCTGCTTCCTCCTCCTCCTCCTCCTCCTCCTCCTCCTCCTC